ACCGATCCCAAAATTAAGTCTACCAGTATTACGAATAAGTCTACCACATATTATAAATCTACCACAACTATAAATAAGTCTACCATCGCGTACGCCGTAATAAGTCTACTAGACGTTTAATAAGTCTACCGTAACAGAATGGTAGACTTATTTAATTTTGGCGGAAAAAAATTTCGGYTTCATTAATGGCWKTTTCGTAAATACRTTTTTTGTYTTYWWATGAAATAAGRTTAACAYAKGAATTAAAAWWWTTTCAARRTCATTCTAATAATATTCAAAGATAGAGGTCATTCTAGTCCAAATCTTTGCTTGACAAGGTCATTCTAGTAAACCACCCTTTATTTTTCTCCCGACTCTTCCAACTAACCACCCACCATTTGCACAAAGAAAACCACACACTAATTAATCGTTGGATAAGCGACCTGTGTTAAGAACTTGACGAAAGCTTTAGGTAAGCCCAAAATAGAGAGGGTCTACTAGAAAAGCCCATAAACGAAAGCTTTAGAATGAATGATAGAAACCCTTGTATCTTTTCAGTAATTTGACTTTATTTGTAGTAGTTATTGATCTCTTTGTGCCCTTTGGGCTTTTAATGAAATATAAGTTGACGACGAAAAAAAAAAAAAGTTGGGTCGCTTTTACTTGATATAAGTATAAGAGATCATTTTCCTAGTATATTTCATTTTCTTATCGCGAAAAAGTCGAGCTACAAAATGTATTAAAAACAAAGTTGGGTCGCTTTGTTCATTTCAAAAAAAAAAAAGTTGGGTCGCTTTGTAACAATTAAAGCTTTCATATTTTGTTTTTAGGTAAATCGTAAATATAAATATATATCTTTAACAAAAAAAAAAAATCGTAAAACAGTTAGTTCCATATTTATAATGAAGGTGCGACTCACTTTTTCTTTTTCCAGTACGGACTCTATTTTTTTTTTCTCCATCCCAAAAACCTATAAAATATTTTTAAACAACGTAGTACTATATAATGAGTGAATATTTTTCCCTAACTATAATGGTTGATTATGTCATATGTAATGAAAATTAAATCACCAATCGACATCAAATCCTAAAGGGTCCTTTAAGAAGTGGAGTAGAGTCAATGATAATAAAATTATAACTTTATAAGTTATAGTGCTTAATATGGTAATCCCTCGACCATTAATAGACAAACGTCCCTTCATATTTTGGATAAAATGCCGAAAGTTTATTTGACCTTTAATTTGTATATTCTGATATCTCTTAAAAGAGTCTTTCATCATTTGACAATGTAATCCAAAACCCACGAAGCCTTTCACATCTACTCGTGATGACATAGAATAGAGCTAGCAGGTTCATTGATTATACGATCTTTGCTCATACATGCATTACGTAAATTTATGTGATTCCCCGTTGAATTTATCATCCCCACACATAAAAACAATAAAGATACTAATATATATTACTATCTAGCTCCTTATAAAGTAATGCATCAATGTAAGTTAGTTCATCAAACGTCATTAGCTCTATCAATAAAGCGGCATTGCTTTATATTTTTATTATCGTTTTTTTTCCTTGTTTTCATAGCTTCTTTGTTTGGTACTTCAAGATTGGAAGTGGACACGGCAACCACTTAATCATATAAGGGATTTGTATAATATATATTTCACTGCGTTGAAGGCTATTTGTTGAGCTCAAAATTAGGTTTTGGTTAACCATATTTCACGAAACATGGTCTGGATAGTTTAACATATATAGAAAAGAACATTCACAAAAGGGCCAATATGCGCACGATATTGAGAGATATTGTCC